CAGCTGCTGTACCCGACTCAATGAATGGGGCCTCTTTTATCAGTCCTGCCAGCTGATCACTGCCATGGAGACAAGATGTTAAAGAACCAAGCAACCCAGGGGACAAGCTCTTGTTTTGGAAAAGGCAGAGCCAATTCTCCTCCACTCTGGGACGAGGACCAACTCTGCTGCTTGCAAAACTTAGATGTTGCTGTGACAAATCCTTGAACTCTGCACCCATTGCTGGAAGGCTACTCGAGCAGGCAGGGACACTGCAGCAAAGCAGCACATTGCTTTCTTCAGTTAAAAAAAATAATATTTGTTTGGCAGTATTAAGATTACAAAGTAGAGGTGCTGTGATTTTCAGCAAGGCAGATGGTAAGAAACTCCTTAGTATGGTGAAGGACACGAGGTGCTACTGAAAGGCACTGTTGTGAGGAGCACACAGCCAGGACGATGGTGCGATAGTCACTCACAAACTGTCCTCAGACTAGGTCCTAGTCCTGAGCAGAAAATAGTTAATGGTCTTCCCAGTGTAAACTGACACAGTCCCAACCAATGGAAGCAGGTCAGACGACAGGGATGGTTCAGCTGCCTTTCTCCAGCAGCACATGGGCCCCCCAGACCCTTCCATCATGTCTGAAGTCCATGCTCCCTCCCAGGATATGCAGCCTTTGATCAAACTGACTTTGGACAGAAACCAGAAAATGCTGTCTCACCGAAAACTGAAATAAATAAATGGGAAGGGTCCTCTCTGCTGGAGTTGTCTCCCTCAGGATTTGGGGATATATAAGCTCCAGCTGTTTGATGCACCTCGGTGAGCACTGGCCCTTCTCTGCTCCACAGATCACAGAGCTGTTCAAGCGTTCATGCCCAGGTCAGGCTCATTTCAGAGATATTGTGGGAAGAGAAAATTCTTCCTCACTGCCATCCCCAAATCAGTCCTTTAAAAAAGGACTCATTTCCCCAGATTAAAAATTATCCTGGAGAGCTGCTCTCTCTACAGGAGGGATCTAGTTGTTGGTTTCCACCCCCTAAATCATGATGATAGAGGCTGTCGCCAGAGGTATACATGTAAGGGATGAAAGGCAATGGACATAATGCAACGTGGGAAACTCTGACTGAATATAAGGAAAAACAGTTCACAAAGTAGTTAGGCACTAGAGCAGGCTGTGGTTGTGAAATCCCCATCCTCAGAGGTTTGCAGGTGACCAAACAAGACCCCGAGCAACCTGATGGAACTCCTAAGCTATCCCTGCTCTGAGCAGAGGATTGTACTCGATGACCTGTTGAGGTATTCTCATACCTGAATGATGAATCAGTAGTTTACCCAAGCCCAGAGAATAGCTATGGAGGGAGGCACAAAAATGCCCACAGCACATTGCTTAAACTGGCTCGAAGAGGGCTCTGAATCACCTGTTCTCTCAGGGCACCAGGCAGGTTTGCATTAAATTGCAACATGTTTTCTTCTTTTAACCAGGGCTTTGTTAGCACTTTCTTTTATCACTGCATGAATTTTAACGAATTCTAACTCAAACAAGATCCAATTTAATACTGGTTATTGGTGATGGACGAGATAAAATCATCTGACTTCAGCTGAATATTTCACCTGCAATGTTTCATTTTTCTGAATCGCTGTGAGGAGGACCCCACATTAAAATTTTAGTCAGCCAGACAGGGCTGTGGGGCCATGTTCTGGGAAAAGTTTCTGTGACCTAAAAAATCCTCAAATCCTCAACATGAGGATTAGTGATTAACAGCTAATGATTAACTTAGTGATTCAGCTGAGATTTTAATGATAAATGAAAAGCTTCTCTTGAACAGCGCATGCCTTACCCTTTTTTGTTTTTTCCCACCAAGAGAATACGCCTACATTAAGAGAAATTAGGACTGGCACACAATTAACAGGGCTTCAGTATTCAGCTAGGAAAACCTTTATACTTTTACATATGGGGCTTTGGGCAGAGTGGCTTCTGTGTTCCCAGGTTTTGTGCCTAACCGCCAGGAGACACGAACTGCCACAAGAGCTCCAGCTCAGCGTGTAAGTGTTCCTAACACAGCTTTTGTTAAACCACATCTGGATCAATTCACCCGTCTGGGATGCCTGCGCAGCAGTTTGGCACAGGGATGCAGTTTGAGGCTCCTGAGGCACTTGCTGGCAGTGACAGCCCCCAGAAAGCAAAAGGACTCTACATGTATTCTCACAATCTTGAGGTTCCATTAATAATTTATCTGTTGAAAAAAAAATAATGTAGATAATGGGCAAAATTGTGCATGTAGTTGTGCGTGCACTGCTGGTTTCCTGGCAGAGGTAACGTGGGTGACAGACTACATTTCCCAGGAGCTGTTGCACTCTTGTGTCGCTGCACAAGGACCTCGCAGCTCGGCAGGAGGCACTTGGGCTGCTGCGATTGCTGCTGCCGGTGCTGCAGAACCATGAGCTTCAGCAATTTGTCTCCTAAAGGACCCAGAACAGAGCTGAGTTAGGGTCTGCTTTTTGCTCCAGACCCTCGCAGGTTGGCTGATTGAGCCTTATTTCATGTTAGACGCTAGATGTCACCTGCAGAAGAAAAGAGCTTGTCTCTTCCAGAGAGATGGCCCCGAGTCAGCAAATTCGCTCTGTCAGCCTGCGCAGCGGCTGTGGCAGAACTAGGTACAGCTCACGGGGATTTTCGGAAAGGGCATCAAAATTTGCTTCCAGAGGCAGGGGATCCTTCAGTCCCCGGACACCTTGTTCTTTGGTGTTTGCCCGGGCTTTCTGGCTCCGGCAAATCTGTTCGTTCCACTCTGCTCGTCGTGACTTTGCAATGATTTAAGCCTTGTGAGCGTTTTGTGCCGCCTGACTGCGGGGCTGGAGGGAGGGGGTTTTCAGGTTGAAATCTTTGCCTCCAACACCGAGGGGCTGTAGTCATTAACACAGAGCGGTTGTGCCTAATTTAAGCTTTGCATTTGCTGGGTTTCTGGAACAAGACTAAAGAGGCAGGACAATCTGCTGCCTAAATTAGTAGCAAGGGAGTGATTTCATCAGGAACTTGCTTTTTGTAGTTAATTCAGATTAATCAAAGGAAAATTACGTCTTACAGACATCTCCACTGTAACTAGAAGTGTAAAAATGGAGTGTAGTAAACTGCTTGCTGAAATATGGGAAACCACCTTGGCATCTGCATAGCACTATTTTGTGATCAGTCATTTATTTAGAATATTTCTCAGCACATTCTATATAATTTCTACGAGCTCTTACAGGCAGATCTCCTGCATTGCACCAATGTTTTGCAATTTCTCAATCTTTGCTCATCTTTTAACGTGAATACCAGATTTAATGCACAAATCAGCTGTAAATCTGCTGAAGCTTTGAGCAGTGACTGCGTTCCTCTGGCACCTCTGAGTCCTGCTCTGGAAGGACGCTGTAGCATGATGTGTTACCGTGGTATGGAGCCAAGGACAACGCCTGCTCCTCGGCACTCGCTGCCTTAGACACCCCTGGCTTGGATCTGAAATTAGGGGCAGCAAATACGTACCCACACTATTTCAGGAGCAGCCCTGGGAAGCTGAGATCAAGGTGGACCACCGTCCATGGCCACCTGGTATTTCAGTGAGAGAAGCAACAGGCTAAATATGGTTTTTATGTCTGCATCAGCAAAACAGCATGTTTTAGGGTGGTTTGTAGGACAGATGCTCACCTGCTTGTCTCTCTGCATTACCATGGCCGCTGTGGGGTTGTTCCTGACTGTAACATGTGCTGCCACTGTGCTGGCCAGAATTGGAGAGGCCACATGCTCGATAAGAGATTTGACTGATTTTTATTCAAGGGGAGAAACTGGAACAGAAATTTTAATCCAGAGTCTCTCGGAAAGTATGCGTATTGCGTTAACAAATTTGCAGAAAGGAAATAAGGGAGAAAGACTTGGTGATCGACAGGCATGTATTTTGGTTACTTGTGCCCAGAGCCACATTTAACAGATATGGAAGTGAATCTCCTGTTTTCCACAAATCTTCTGCGCCCTGTTTGGGTACGATCCCTGCTGTCTGCTGCTGCCTGCACAGCCCCCTTGGCTGCTCGGAAGAGGGGGATTGTGGTGTAGATGTTACCAGCAGGGTCTCTCTGCAGCTGCACTCACGTTCACGTTTGCTCCCTGCTATTTTCCAGTGACGTTTCCCCTGGACCTCACAAAAACACGACTGCAGGTGCAAGGTGAAGCTGCTGTTCGTCGCAGCAGAGCAGCTGGTGGCCAGGCGGTCCCTTACCGGGGCATGCTGCGCACCGCGGCCGGCATCGTGCGAGAGGAGGGCTTACAAAAGCTCTGGCAAGGAGCCACACCGGCCGTGTACCGCCACATAGGTGATTATCTGCTCGTGGTGGGACAACTTTGGGTCCTGCCTTCTGTGGCTGACAACTTTTTGGAGTGAGCTTGCCATATCTTCCTGTACTTTTAAGTTTATCTGCAAGGACTTCTTCAGTCTACCCTGCAATCCTGCTTTGAAATATATGAGATTCTGTCTCAATATCATCTCTTCCTTCTTTTGCTCATTCCCTCCCAGACTTATTCTGGTTTCTGGGAAAGCAAAATACAATCCCTGTTATCTTTGCAGGAAGCTCTTCAGCACAAGCAGCCACTCAGGGTTCTCAGAACAATAAATATCTTTTATTGGAGGGAAGTGGGGACAGGCTGGGACAGAAAAGATAAGGTTGCAAATGCTAGGATGAAGAAATGCTTTAGCGGTTTGGCCACAGGTAACAGCTTCCTGTGTTTTATTTGGAAATAACGGTGACAGCATGAAACCTCAAAAGCACTTGTGAGAGGTTTCGTGCTTGGCACCAGCTGAGAGGGAAGCAACACCTCCTTAATGTGCAGGCATCAGCTGTGCTGCCTCCTGGTAGATGAATGGCTCAGCCAGAGAGATTCCCTGATGCTAAAAAGTTCTGGCTCTGGCATTGCTACCAGGCAGCCCCCTTGCCTTCCCCATTTGGATCATGCAGGCGAGGTCTGGAGCGTTTTACAACCAATCGCTTGACCTCTTTATCATAGCGCGACCTCCAGACATGGCAGACCCAAGAATTGTCTCCTGCTTTTGTTTCCCACAGTGTACTCCGGGGTTCGGATGGTTGCGTACGAACATCTCCGTGACTCCGTGCTTGGCAGAGCTGAGGATGAAAGCTTTCCTTTCTGGTAATGTTGCGTTTTTATGCTTTTGCTTGTTTGGGGATTGTCCTTACTGTAAGAGTCCTGCAGCCCAAAAAACTCTAATTTTCCTCATGGCTCTCCTACCCTAAAGATGGTAAATATAAAGTAGGGGTTTAAGTACGGATACGGACTTTCTAATTTTAGTTTTAGGGCAGTATCTTTTCATTCAGCTGGGAACGGGACTAAGAAACATTGAAATACATTTCTCAGAGGCTTAACTAGGACCATGATTAATAAGGATACTCTACTAAAAAGATGGAAAAATGTGGAAAAACTGTAGCAATAGCAGTTTATCAGATCAGCTGTCCTGGGGGCAAGAATTAGCCTGGATTAGAGCGGAGGCAGGGCGGCTTGACATGACTCAAGATCTATGATGTGGTAGCAGCTCCTTTATTTTCCACATGGGCCAGGGGATGGTGGGACGTCGTGGCTGGCCGTACAGCGGTGTGTGACGGCTGCTGGAGAAGCCGTGAGCAATTGCACAAACCCGACAGCGCTGTGACTAATCCCACAGCTGCCTGTAGGATTCAGGCCAGAGCTCCAGCCATGCTGGACTCGCAGCTTGTGCCCTACTCAGCTCCGAGGTCACCCGAGAGCTTAAGTAGCTCCACATGGGGTGAGGACACATTTCCAAAGGTATGATGGACACCTCAGATATCCTCTGGAGCTTTGCAGACAAGAAGGCACGGGTTGTACATCTCAGATTTCCAGCTGCTGGAGGGATGGATCCCGTGATGTGCTGCCAAATCAGCAGTTTGGCAACATTTTGCTGCTTGCCCTACTGCCTAGGTAAGAAATTATTATGCCGTTGGATTATTAACGAGGAGTGTAAGGGTAATAGGAAGGTTTGCTGATTCTGGTGGTGCACCTTAGCCCAAGAGATGGAAATTTCCTGGCTACTGAAGAGGCAAATCCTGAAGGAAAAGATGTTTTTTTGTTCACATGTATCTGACAGACGTCAGTCTAAGTTAAATCTGTGCCTGCTTCCCAAGGAGACAAGTGATCCCTACAAAAAGCAAAACCAAAGTCTTTGTTCTGCACTTTCAATTCAGCAACAGTTAAATCTCATGCAGTCCCTTTTTTTTTTGACAATGCAAGTAGTATATTTGTGTGTGGGGAATGAAGCAGATTTTTCTGTAAGTTTTGAAAATCACTGATTTCTAATTGTCAAATTATTATTGTTAAAATGTCAATCATGTACTTTTATAATCATATACAGTATCATATCCAAGCAAGTATTTTACTCCAAAATCAAATCCTGGGTGGAAAATGTAACTGTTTTTAGGATAAGATTTATAAAATCTAGTACAGCTAAAGTACTTGTCATGCTTGGTGGTATGGGAAGGGGAATAATACCAACATTTCTGGTTCTGCTAAAGTAAGTAGAAGCAGAAAATTAACATGATGCTGCTAGTTGTGTTAGGGAGATAAACAATAATTTTAGATATCAGCAAGCAGTTTAGAGTTTCAGGCTGGCATTCAGTTATTATAATATATGGATCACCATCCCTTACTTGTGTTCCTTAACATCCTGCCTTTAAACCTTAAGCAAGGCACATAATGTAACCTGGAGAGGAAACAGAGCATCTTGGTCATGTATAACTTGATTTTTTTCCCCTCAGATAAATTTTAACCCGTTCTTAAAATTGGCAGAAATATTACTGACTACCCTTATCGGCAGTTGTTGCAATTATTACCTTAACTTTGGCTGTTAGTATAAGGAATAACCATTCACACTTGTTTCAGCTGGGTCGTGCTGCTGAACTCTCCAGGTTGAGCACTGGGAAGGTTTTCAGTGTATTCTAGAGAGCAGTTTTTTTCTCCCTGTTTGGCAGGAAAGCTGTGGTTGGAGGCATGTCTGCAGGTGCCATTGGACAGTTTTTCGCCAGCCCAACTGATCTGGTGAAGGTGCAGATGCAGATGGAAGGAAAAAGGAAGTTGGAAGGAAAGCCATTACGGTCGGTTCCTCTCGAAGCTGGTGTTTTTTTCCTGTTGATAATAACTCTTTGGCCCTGGGGTTTGGTTTTCTGTTTTCTGCCACCCGCTCTCCACAGCTGCTCAGAGCCCTTCTCGGGGAAAGAGCAATGCCTGGGAGGCACACGATGGCTCTGGGCAGTGGAGAGGGTGGAGGGATCCAAGATTTCCTCTTTATTCCTTTTATACTCGCCTTCCTTTTTCAGATATGCTCGTCCCAGGGACCACAAACCCTCACCCCATCCTACACGTGCAGCACGTCCATGCCAGTGCTCTTCCGGGGAACGGGAAGGATGCTTCCTGAAGAAGGGAAGCTGTAAGAAAAGATGGAGGGAGTGGCTCCCGGGGGGGGAGGACGC